CAGGAGGACTTGGTCCACCAGGAGTGCCAGGCAGAAGTCCGAGAGCAGGAACTGGGCGCTGACTGGCTTAAACTGGCCACAGCTGGGAGAGTACGTGAGCAGGCTGCCAGGCCTGGGCCAGCCCTCATCCTCATCCTCCTGGCCCCACTGCACTCACTTCCAAGGGGATGTAAATCCATTTGAATTTTGAACAATGAACTCTTCGAAACAATCATTTAAAAAAAAAAAAAATTTAACTCCTCAAAGCAATGCATTTTTTAAAAAATTGTGAGTACAGTTTCCAGGAGCAAATGCATGCAGTGAGATGAGACGAGGTCTTAGGTCATAATCCTGGGGATATTAACATTTTTGTTTTAATTGAGGTGAAATTCACATCATACATACAATTAGCCATTGTCAAGTTGCCGTTCAGAGTCATTTAGTGCACCCACGATGTTGTGCAATGCCTCCCTGTACGCCTGCCATTTTTCATCAGCCCAGAACACCCCATACACACCCCTTGAATGATCACTCCCTATCCTCCCTTCCCCACCCCTGGTAATGGCCCATATGCGTTGGTCTCGAGGGGTTTACCAGCTCCACATGAAAGGGACTGTACGTTACATGAAGGTGACTACCTGGCTGCCTTCACTCAGCGTAATGTTTTCAAGGTTTCCCCGTTAGTAGTACCCAAACCTCCTTCCTCTTAATGGCTGGGTAAGGTCCCATCAGACGGACACCCCACAATTTGTTTATCCATTCAATTGTTGAAGGGACGTTAACTTTTTTTTTTTTAATTGTGATTTGGGTGGAAATTTATAGAGCAAATTCACGTTCCATATAGCAGTTCACATACACTTTATCTCATGACATTGACCATAATTTCCCACAGTGTAATAGCTCCCCTCCCACTTCCTCCTGATAGTTACCTCTTCCCTGTGTCCATCCCTCCATGCACTCCTGCCCCCTGAGCTGCCTCCTTGTGCATAAGCAGCCATTCTTTCTCCCATGATTGTTCTCTCCAAGCAGTGTATCTACCTCAGGTAAATGTTTGGCTCATATGCCTCTTTTGTTTGGCTGGAAGCCACAGGTGTGGGTTCAATTCCAGACCTGAAGGGTAGCTAGGGACCATAGTCCCAGTGGTTCCACCAGGCTCTATCAGACCAGCAAACCTGGTCCTTTTTTTTTTTTTCTTTTTTTCCAAATGATTTTGAGCTTTGTTCCACATTGTTCTCCCTCTCTATCCAGGATCCTACATAGATCCCCCTCCAAGTGGTTGACAGTGGTAGCCAGGCACCATCTAGTTCTTCTGGTCTGATAGTCATATAGTCTGAGGATCGCATGGTGTACCAGTCTCTTGGACTAATGTTTCCATGAATCTTTGGTTTTCTTCATTCTTCTTTGCTCTAGATGAAGAGAGACCCATCGTTGCATCTAGATGGCTGCTTGCAAACTTTTAAGATCCCAGTCACTATTTGCCAAAGTAGGAGGTGGAACAACGTTTTGTGTAGTATATTATACCAATTGAGCTTGATGTCCCCTGCGACCATGGTTCCGAGCCCACAGGTTCAACTACTTGCTACCTCTGGGTAGCTGGCTGTGCCCCTTGTCAGCTCTACTATACACCTGCGAATTCTTACAGAACATACAAATACACTTGTAGAACCATTGTCTGCCAACCCTATACATGGTCTTGGGTACACTCCCCACTTCATGGATATACCTAATAGTTCAGCCTGTCTACCCATCTATCCACCCGTAGATCAATGTTTGCCATCACTGACAATGCAGTACTGTCTGTGCAAAAGGGCATCGTCTGACCTACTGTTGATAGTCATCTGAAGTGTTTCCAGTTCGGGGCTATTACGAAGAGGCACTTTTTTAAAAAATTAGTAATCAGAAAAAAAATTATTATATTTTAAAGTAACTTATTTTTGCTGTTGAAAAAATACATGGAGCATACAATTCAACAATTTCTACATGTAGAATTCATTGACATTGAAATCTTCCAATTGTACAGCCATTCTCACCTTCCTCTTCCAAATTGTCCTCCTCTATGAACATCAACTCATTGCCCCCCATTTCCTACCCAGTATTTTCGAGCCGCTGATGTCGACTTGAACCCTCGTAAACAGTTCTTTAAAAGAACACAATGTCCACGGTAGACATGCTTTCCTAAATAAGCAAAACTATTTTTTGGCTTAAAGACGACTTAGAGGATATTTTTGGTTTCAAGTTTAAAGATGCTCTCAGGGCAAAAGTTTTGGGGATTCCCGCCTCAATGGCTCCAAAAAGTCAGGATTCCATGAGAATTTGGAATTCCTGAAGAGACGCTTTTTCAAGAGGGCTAACACAAGGATGGGTGGGCCACATGGTGAACTCTCACCCACTCACCGAAAGGCTGGTGGTTCACACGAACCCAGAACCTTCATGGAGACAGACCTGCTTCTGAAACGCTACAGGCTTGAGAACCTGAGAAACAGTTCTCCTCTGTCCCCATGAGGCCACCGTGAGTCAGAAGTGACTCCACCAACCACCAGCTGGAGAGGCTGCTGGAAACACTCTTGTTCTGTCAGCGTTTGGTTGAGCAGTGCCTGAAGGCGTGAGACTGCCAGGTCACAGAGCTGGCCTCTGCCCAGCCTTCAAAGATCCTGCCAATGTCTTCCTCAGTGACCTCGCACCTCCTCATGGTTCCGTAAGTACCTCAGGGTGATGGCAGGCATTGGAGACAAGGTGAGGTAGAGAGGGGAATGGCAGGACGGCCTGGGTCTCCAAGGATGCTTGTGTGGCTGGAGGAATTCGACCATGGAAGTGCTGATGGAGAGCGAGGAGGCGGAACATGGACTCCCGCCTCTGGACTTGGGAATTTCTCCAGAGTGCTCTGGGAAGAGGTGCCTTTGGGGAAGCAGGCTTTGGTTACAGACACAATGGGGGAAGCATTGGGAGGAGGACAGGATGCAGAGGGTTTGTCCACCATGGTCACGTCCTTCGGGGCTTGCCAGGATCTACACAGCAAAGGCCACACCACTACCAGTGTCCTCCCCCGTATAGTCCAGCCCTTCCTGCCCCCTGGGTTCGAGTCCTCCACCTGCACAGCTTGGAGCCAGGTACAGGCCTTTCTCCACAGGACCCGTGAGTCACTAACTCCCTTCGCTCTGTAGACCTAGAGGAGGATGTTGTCTGAGAACTGCCAGGAGAATCGTGAAGACATGAACACGCCCCTGTGAAATCCAGTGGGACCAGCAACCGCTGCCATAGTAATAGCACATTGCCGAGGGAGGCTCACCCGGGTCAGCTCTCCCACCCCGTCGACTTCCTGGGTGGCTCTGGCGGGTCATTTCACCCGGGAGCCTCAGCCTTCTCCTGTGTTCTGTATGTTGTTGCTGAGGTGTGGTGACCCCCGTGTGCAAAGTAGAAGTGCCCCATGGGGTTTCCAGGGCCGTGTTCTTTTGGAAGCTGGTTACCAGATCTGTCTTCTGACACACCTCTGGGTAGGTTTCAGCCACCAACCTTTGGGCTAGTTGTCAAACGCTTCACTGTGCCACCCAGGGTTAATACTTTGCTGGGTGGGGAAGGAGACCCTGGGTAAGTGCAAGTGCTATGAATGGGGGCATTTGCTGGCTGCCAGAGCTGGAAGGAACCTCAGAGATGGGCTCATCCAAACTTGAGGGGGAGTGGACAGGTGAACGGCCCATGCTCAACCAGTTGGTGACAGAGCAGGGATTAGAGCCGGACCTGAGGCTTAGCCCTGCTGTTTCCCAAGCCAGAGGCCTGAGTCCGGCCGCTATAATCCCTCCTGCTCAGAGCGCCAGTGCTGACGTGCCACCCTCAGCAGGGCAGGCACAGAGCTGCCAGGCTCTGTGGGCCCCATCCTGCTGGAAAGGCAGGATCAAGGTGGGGGATTAGGGGCCTCTGGGAAGAACATCACATGTTGCCCGGTGACGCCAGCCCCTGTGCCCCAGCATCCAGGACATTCCGGTTCCTGCCCTGCAGGTGGGCCCCCAGGCTGACTGGCTCTGCGTGTGGCCACTGGGCCAGCCCCTGTGGTCCTGGTGAGTAGGACCCCCCACCCACATTCTCAGGAACTACCCTACTTGGAGCTTGGAGCTAAGGGGAGAGAGGAGGTGGAGGAGGGAGGGCGGGGTGGATACAGAAGCCATAGGGTCCTTAAGTGTCTCCTGGAGGAGGAGGGTGGCCTACTCTCAGAACGGCCAGTCTGCAGGGTGTCCTGACAGAGACAGAGAAGTGCCCCAGGGGACACTGAGGAGCCGGGCTGGGGCAGGAAGCGTCTTATGCGCCCCCATGGCTGCTCCTCTCCATTCTCCCCCAGCCAGGCTCTGAACCCCCATCATCTCCTGCAGTCCCAACTCCTCCTAGCTTCCCCCCAACCCTGTGTGTGTGGCTCAGGCTGAGCTATCTGGGTAAATGTGGGGTGCCCTGGGGCTCACCTACACTTAGGGGCTTTTCTCCAGGGCCAAGAGCTGAGGCTGTCTCAAAATCCCCAGCCACATCATCTGTTCCCAAAGGACCCGAGAGTCTCCTCTGGACAGGTAAGCAGCTGTGGCCGGGCCCCAGTGGTGGGATGGGAGGCTGGGCGCCTACCACCGACTCGCCTGCAGCTGCATTAGAAGCGGTTGGGGAGGCTCGTGGCCCCTCTGTTCCCTCCCCACCTTGGCCAGCAGTGCCAGGGGCCCCCAGCTCCATGGAGCCTTGTCCACTGCTCCCAGGGCTCAGATGCACCCACAGGTCAGTGACACCAGAGTTTGGAGGTGCAGGGGGCTATTCCATGGTCCTTCCAGCTGGGAGGGAGAGGGGACGTGAGAACACCATGTTTGCTGTCGCTGAAAACCACCTGGGGCTGGTACCTGGGAGAGGTGCCCACTCCAGGTCCAGGTCCTAAAGAGTCGAGACACACCCTCACCAGACCCGACCCTCACTCTTCCCCTCCAGGTGCTAGGGGGCCCTCCTCAGCCACACAGGTCACTTCTAAGCAGAGGCGCCCCAGCGAGGTGCTGGTAGCCAGGATGTCCACCCAGAACATCCACCCTTTGAAACCTGCCACCCTGAGCCTGCCACCTGGGGTCCCTGACTCCCCAGGCCGCCAGCGTCGCCACACACTCCCCGCCAGCGAGTTCCGCTGCCTCAGCCCCGAGGATGCCACCAGCGTGTTTGAGATTGAGAGGGAAGGTGGGTGGCCCCTGCACAGGCACTGGGCCTCTGGTCAGCTCTGGTCTAGGGACCCTGCAGAGAGAAGACCCTTACATCCCAGATCCCACGCTAACCTCCTGTTGTTTGGAGGCTGGGTCCTTGGAATGTCAGACTGTGTGTGCGTGCTGTGGTGTTTGTGTGTATGTGTGTGCACATGTGCATCTGTGTTTTATGTGCGCATGCATGTTTGTGTGCATGCATACTCGTGCAATGTGTGTTGTGTGTACATGTGCACATGATGTATGCATGTGTACTTGTGCATGTATGTTGTATGTGTACATGTGCACAGTGTCTGTGCATGTGTGCTTGTGCACATTCACTATGCACACATGCATGTGGTGTGTTTGTGTGCATGTGTTATATGTGCACATGTGCCTGTGGTGTTTGCATGCATGTATACTTGCACGTTATGTGTGCACGTGGTGTTTCTGTACATATGTTGTGTGTGCACATGTGCATGTGGTGTGTGCATGTGTATATGCACTTGTGCACATGTGTGGCGTGTGTGCATCTTCAGGATGAGGAGATGGGGAAAACAGCAGCCCTGAATCTTTTGCTTCCCTGTGGGTGAGGGTTGGGGTGGGAGACCCAAAGTGGACACTGCATGGGTGTGGGCTCAGTGAGCAGTGGGTCATGCGTGTGTCCCCCCCACACAGCCTTCATTTCTGTCTCGGGTGTCTGCCCCCTATACCTGGACGAGATCCGGCATTTCCTGACACTGTGTCCAGAGCTGTCCCTGGGCTGGTTCGAGGAGGGCCGCCTTGTGGCCTTCATCATCGGCTCACTGTGGGACGAGGAGAGACTCACTCAGGTGAGGCAGGCAGGGCAGCAACGTGTACTCCCTGAAGGCCTCCGGGAAGCCACTGCCGTCAGTCCACAGCTCCTCATGGCACACAGCAGCCACCCGGATGGGGGCTGAGAATGTTCCCTCTGAAACCAGAGATGAGCCCATCACGGCCCCCTCCCAGGTCAAGAGGGCTGATCCCTTTGGGGTCTCGAAGCCCCTCATGAAGGCTCTTCCATGGGCTGGGGGTGGGAGGGAGCCCGGGTTGCAGGCAGTCAGGGTGAGGGGGTGGACGGTGTCTGCAGAGATGACCTGGACACCGTCCCTCACTCACCCCCAGGAGTCGCTGACGCTGCACAGGCCTGGGGGCCGCACAGCACACCTGCACGTGCTGGCTGTGCACAGCACCTTCCGGCAGCAGGGCAAAGGCTCCCTCCTCTTGTCGCGCTACCTGCGGTACCTGGGCAGCCAGCCGGCCGTGCGCCGCGCCATGCTCATGTGTGAGGACGCCTTGGTGCCCTTCTATGAGAAGTTCGGCTTCCAGGCCATGGGCCCATGCGCCATCACTGTGGGCTCGCTGGCCTTCACCGAGCTTCAATGCAGCCTACGTGGCCACGCCTTCCTACGCAGGAACAGTGGCTGCTGAGCCACCCGCCACCTGGCCACCTCTGCCCTGGCCCCACCCCACTCAGCACAGAGGCACGCAGGGTGGGAAGACAGGTGAACGGAGACTAGAGGACAGAGTAGCCCATCCTGAGCCCTGGCTACAGTCCAGAGCAGGGAGGGCGTGTCCTCCAGTCTGTCCTCACGAGCCCCTCGAAGACACGCTGCTCTCTAAACTGTGCCCGAGATGCAGCTGGGTTTGGTGAATCGGAGGCAGTTGGAAGCACTGGCAGATGCTCGTGGCAGGGGGTGGGAAAAGGGCTTAGCACCAGGGCAGTGTCCTCGAGGGAGCAGCTTGACGCTGGCTACCCCCTCCCCCAGCCAGTGACCTGCACGATGTCAGCTTTGGAGCAGGGAAGTGCTGGGCTAGTTTTTCACCCCACCCTTGGTGGTCCTGTGCACCAACCCTCACCCCCAATAAAGGAGTTGTGCCCCTGTGGTCTCCCTGGTGTGGTGTGGTCTGTGGGGCAGGCGTGGTGTCAGAAGTGCGGTTTGGCCTCCCCTAATGAAGTGAATGGCATAGTGCCTAAGGCACTTGACTGCTAACCAGAAGGCTGGCGGTTCAAACCCACCAGCCACTCCTCAGAAGGAAGGTTGGGCAACCTACTTCCGTACTGATACTGCCTGGGAAGCCCAAGGAGGGGTCGCTATGAGTCAGGTCCAACTCGACGGCACATAACAACAACAATGAAGTAAATGCAGAACCGCTGAGCTTTCTCTCTGATGCCATCTTGGCCAGTGCCCCCCTCCCCCCGCCCAGCTGGTTCCCTCAAGGCCCTTGAGCAAAGGCAGTGCAGGCTGGGGGTGGGGACTCCGGGGTCTGAGCATTCATCCCAGTCCTCTCAAGGGACCCCTTGAGGTCCTCCATGACGAGGGACCTACATTCAGTTTCCAGCCCCACCAAATCCCACAGAGTCCCACACCATCCCAGGGGCCAAGCCAGCGCCCCGACCCCGACCCTCGAAAGCCCCAACTCCCCTTCTAGGCCAGGCCTCAGAATCAGAACACGACACACTGCCCTTCCCATAAAGAACATTTAATGCCCCCCAGACACCATCCGTACAAAGTTAGCGTTACTGTGGAAATCACCAACGTGTCATCAACTGGTGGACGGACAAACAGAAGAACAGACCTGCCTGAGGTTCTCTCTGGAGACCCGAGAGCAGGTCCGCGGGCAGCCGGCTGTCCCCCTGCCTGGGGGGCAAGTGAGGTAGCAGGCCTTGGGGTGGCAGCCTCAGAACAGCAGCCCGTGGGAGAGCAGAACACTGATGGTACCCTGAGGACAGATCAGGGACGGGGTGCGGGAACCCCTCCCACCCCCATTTTAGGGGTAAAGACCCTGCTTGCTAAATGCTCTTGGCAGCCCAGCCCACGGCCAAAGCCGCTCCCACACAGCCCAGCACCGGTGCCCGAGCGTTGCTCAGAGGCCGTGATGAACGCAGGCCGGGCTCCCAGGGCCGTGGAGCGGAGGAGCAGCAAGGCGCTCCTCACGGACGCAGTGACTGGGTGGGAACCTGGGGCCCAGATGGCTGCCCAGTCTGAGGCCGTCCCAGGCCCAGCGAGGGGGCAGCCGTGCCCCGAGGAAGGGCACTACTCACAGCAGTGGCAGGAGAAGGCACTAGCAGAGGCTGAGCTGGAAGAACGTAGCAGCCTCAGGACCCGGAAGAAAGAACCTGCCCCAGAGGTGGCCCCAAAGCTGGGGGGTGGGAAGGGAGGGTGGGCGTGTGGTCGGAGCTGGCAAGAACCAGGAGCTCTGGGCATCCCCCCAGCCTGGGCCAGGGACACACAGCCTGAGGAAGGCGGACTCCACTCCCCTGTGACCTGCCCATCTAGGCCCTCTCCCCTGGAGTGACGGGCCCTGCCCCTATTGGGGGTCTTGGGGGTGGGGTGGAGCCAGCCAGCAGTCACCGCTCTGAGCGTGGTGGCTGGAGCCTGGCCGGCCCGGCTTGTCAGTGCAGCACTTGGTCCAGCTCGTACTTCTCGCAGAAGCGGCCGGTGAAGGGGAAGCAGGTGAGGTACTCAACCCAGGGCCAGTTGATGGGATAGACATAGAGCCAGATGACCAGGGAGGCGAAGAGGCCGGCGAAGACCAGCAGGGACACCAGGATGAAGGCGCGCTTGCGGTACTTGTCACTGGTGCCGAAGGTGATGTAGGGCAGGAAGGCAAAGGCCAGCAGCAGGCCGCTGAGGAAGCCGAAGATGTGGGCGATGTTGTCGATCCACGGCAGCAGGCCACACACGAACAGGAAGAGCACGATGGCCGACAGGTTCAGGAAGGCCTTCCAGGGCCGCTCCAGTAGCTGCCAGCTCTGCAGCAGCTCGACGAAGAGGCAGGCCAGGAGGCCGAACTGCGAGCCGGCCGGGCCCACCTGAGGGCAGGGGCTGCGTCAGTCCAGGGGCCGGGGAGGGGTCCTGCCTGTGAGCAGCCCCCTCAGGAGCACACACCCTGAAGCTGAGGGGGCGGGGGTCTAAGGGTGTGGCTGGGCTGCAGCCGGGCCTGCTGTGTCCATCCTTCCGGGAAACACTGCCCACCTGTGTGGACCTAGTGCAGGCCAAGCCAATCCAGCCAGCCGAGCCTGCTCTGATAGGAGGGTGGGGACGAGCACTGAGCAAGCAAAGGTAAGGCCAAACCGGTCAGACTGCACCGGGCTTCCGTTTGGGAAAGAAGTTTTGCAAACAGATAGTGGTGGAGGTTGCAAGCATCTTGAACACAACTAACGTCACTGAGTTATGCACTTAGAAATGGCCAAAATGGCCCGTCTTGTGTTTAAATATTTTGCCACAGTAAACATAAGAAAACGGCTTGCTATAGGTCAAGAAGAGTAGCCAAACACTGGCGTTTCACATTGCTCAACCTACAGCCATATATAGGAGCTCTGGTGGTGCGGTGGTCGTGCACTCAGCTGCAAACCAAAAGGTCAGAGGTTCGAACCCACCAGGTGCTCCTTGAGACAAAGAAGAGGCAGTCTGCTCCTGAAAAGATTTTAGCCTAGGAAACCCTGCCCTCCAGGTGGCTGAGTCTGAATCAACTTGATAAACCAAAAAAAAACCAAACTCACTGCCGTCAAGTCGGATCCGACTCATAGAGACCCCTCCTTGGGTTTCCGAGGTGGTATTGGTATGGAAGTAGATTGCCCAGTCTTCCTTCCAAGGAGAGGCTGGTGGATTTGAACCGCCAGCCTTCTGGTTAGCAGTCAAATGCCTTAGGTACTGTGCCACTAGAGCTCCTGAACCAGCTTGATAGCAGTGTTTTTTCTTATAACTGTGTAAGGTGCTGTCAGGCAGCGGTCATGGATGTGAACAGAAATACAGCAGAGTAAAGAGACAGTTGGGGGCAGTGGTCAGGGGAGAATGTTTTGGGGTGACGTCTGAGCACAGGGGCAGTTGTCAGGGATCTCGGTGACTCAGGAGCACTGGTTGTTCCCTCTCTGGGGATGAAAGGACTAGTCAATAAGCCCCTGGCTTCGTGTCCATCCGTGGTGACCCGATGGGATCGCAGTGGGTGGGTGTGTTCTGGGCAGAGCCCACAGTGGGCAGGCAGGGGCAGCACAGGCCCCAGTCAGCAGAGCCTCAGCCGAGCCGGCCTCCCCACTGGGCCTCCCCACGGGCCATGAAGTCCCCCGTCCCCGTCCCCCTACCTCTGCCCGGTACGGCAGGAAGATGGCGCTGGCGAGGTTGCCCGTGATGCCACTGAGGATGAAAATGATGGCGATGCGGTGCCAGCCAGCCAGCTTCTCCAGGTCCCGCAGGATGGTCATTTGGAAGATCACGGACACCAGGCAGTGCACCACGCTGGGGTGGGGACACGCCAGGTATGGGCCTTCCTGCGCTGAGCCATGGCCACTGCCAGCACCGGGGTGTGTCGGCGGTGCCCTGGCCTGGGGGCCCTGCCTGGGGGGTCCAGGAGTGGCCACCAAGCGTCCCCACGGCAGAGGGTGGCAAGAGGAGCCTCTTACCCGGCATGCAGGAACAGCGACAGCCAGAGCCGGTAGAACTGATCGGGGACCTCAGGGTTGAGGAAGGGAAGCAGCCCACACACCTCGTCCAAGCAGTGTACCTGCGGGTGGGGCCCGCGGTCAGCACCCCTGGGAGGCGAGTGCCCAAGCCTGACCCCGTCGTGGCCGCCCTGGCTTCTCGAGCCCCTTGCTTCCTACCTAGGACCACCCCTCCGCCCAGACCCTGGCTCACCTGGGAGCAGAGTGTAGCTTCTTCATGGAAATAGCCATGCATGAACTCACAGTACTCCCGGGTGGTGATCTCACAGCTGGGCAGGCAAAGAAGTGGGGAGCATCAGGCCCTGAGGCCCTCCCGCCTCTGCCCCGCCCCAGCCAACACCTGGCCGCAGCAGGTACTCCTGGCAGGACGTAGGGCCCCTCCGCAGCTCCAGGAAGCTCCCCTGCAGGCTGCTCACGGCCCAGGTGGTCCCAGGTGAGCTGGGGGCTCGGCCTGGTTGGGGGCGCAGGGGGAGGGGGAGGAGCAGGGCCCCAGAGAGCCCCTGGGGTGGGACCACGGCTCACCTGCCCTTGGTACCGATACAGCAGGGACGACCCTTGATCTTGCAATCCATGTGTAACAGGCCCGTGTGATTGCTCCTGGCCTGCTCCGTGCAGATCTGCGGGGCAGCATCAGCGGCAGGGTGGCCCAGGCAGCAGGTCAGTGGCCTGTCCCACTCCCCAAGACCACTGCCCACCCAGAGCACTCACTGGCCACTTGGTGATGTCATCTGGCCAGATGTGAGCACCGCTGGAGGCCGGCTCCTCACAGGTTCTGGCGGCCGAGATCAGAGGGGTGAAGTGAAGGGCTACGATCCCCACCCTGCCTCACCCACCAGTCAATGTACAGGGGTGTGTGTGGTACAGTGTGACGAGATACCCGGCCCTGTCCTCTCTGAGAACCTGGGGCAGCCACTCCGGGGCCTGTAGACTGCACCTGGGGTCCTGGTGACACACAGCCCCCGACGTCCGCCTCTGGCCCTGGTCAGAC